TATATATCATATATCATTGTATATCATATATATCATCATATATCATGTATACCATATCAAAGCAAAACTGCGGTGACGCAGTGGTTAGAATGCAATACTGCAGGCTACTTCTGCTGACTGCCGGCTGCCAGCAGTTTGGCAGATCAAATCTCACCAGGCTCAAGGTTGACTCAACTTTCTATCCTTCCGAGGTTGGTAAAATGAGGACCCAGATTGTTGGGGGCAATATGCTGACTCTGTAAACTACTTAGAGAGGGCTGTAAAACACTGTGAAGCTGTATATAAGTGCTAGTGCTATTATCCAAAGGAAGTTCCAGAGTATGGTGGATTGAGATCCGTGTGGTATTGGTTGTGGGCTCTTAACTAAAAGTAAATAAATGTAATATATTTCCTGAATCCTTTGCATTCATCAGGGGAAGTGGTGATGATAATTCTGTCCCTTGCAAGAATGCCTGTGGGAGTAAAAACTAGTCATTGCCTGCTGTTGCTCAAATGCCACTGTAATTACGGTCAGAAACGGAACTTTGAAAACCTTCCCTGCACAGGGAAAAGGGGCTTTTGAAGGGAGGCGAATTTGTTTAGAATATTAAGTTTGGCAGAGATTAAAAAAAGGACTCATCTTAGAGTTAACCCAGAGGAAAGGATACAGAATAGGATGATAAAATAATCAGATCCTAGTTTTTTTGCCCTCCCCCAGGCAAATATTTGATTTGATTGTATAAGATTTGGAATCCAACTTTATCCTTGAGGCCTACTGTGTAGATTCGGACTATCTCATACTCTGTCAAGGATAGTTATTAACCACATGTGGGATGGCACCATATCTTGGTTGCAGGAAGAATCAGAGTTCTAAGAGACTTAAATTTTCCCCAGCTTTTAAATTGAAAATTTACTTTAAAATTATGGCTACATTGAATGAATGGTACATATATCCAGTCCTTGTTGCAGCCATCGGAGAGCTCCCACGGTCATGTGATCGAAATTTGGGCCCTTGGTAGCCTGCCCAAACGTATGACTTCAGGGGCAGTTCAATTCCCCCATTTGCCTGTCCCCACTCCCATCTCTGCTTTTTTGGGCCCTATGCTCCGTAGTCCCTGTGCTCTGTTGACCACACTGGCCTTTGACCTTCTGGAGAAGTGAAACTGATGCAAATCTAGAACTCTGTGAATATAGGGAAATAATTACGGCTAGCATCCGATAAAGCATCATCTTTGCACTTAGTATAAAAATATTTCTACCAGATTCTTTGACTGGGATGTATGGTATACATAAGAATGGCTTGCTCACATGTTGTTTTTCATCTTCTGGCTTACATTTATTTGGAAGCCATTTCTTCCTAATTGGAAATCTCTACTTTTGGAGTAAAGGTATTTATTATTACCAAGAGAATAGTTTTTAAATATAGTAGTAGAGAGAGGTGTGTGTATGAGGGAGGGAGGGAGGGGAGAGGCTCAAAGAAAACTCCAAATATTTTCAAAGATTTCTGAGGAAGCTAGAAATGTGATCCACATTCAGCTTTGCTTGCATTACTACAATGTAAAATAAGATTTGCTGGTTGGATGTCATTCACAGTAGCCTTTTCAGTCTGATATAGGATTATGCAGGATGTTGTTTTTAATCATTTCAAGGTTAAAACATTCTGTCCTTGGAACATCCCATTCTTTCCTCAACAAGTCAAGTGTAGTGGTAATAAAATTTTATTGTCGTCAGTGGAACAAAAGATCACAAGTATTTCAAGAGGCTGTTTCATGATCAGATCATTTCTGGTACCCCTCAAAAAGATGCTTCAGTGATGGAAGGTTGCATAATTTCCCTTTTTCTATCATGAATTTGCTATGGAGCTATATTTTTTTTAGATTCCTCAGAGATGCTCAGAAGAATGTATCAAAATCAGTAAAACCTGAACTTATCACAAAGATTTCAGTGAAGCTAAAGGGCTGAGTATCCATTCATAGAATATCTCAGCTCGGACCTGGACCAGGTAAACTAATCAGAGGAAGGCTTGAGTAGAAATGGAGTACGTTCAGACACATTTCTATCAATAAAGGAAACTATTTGCAGCTCAGGGTTGAAATGAGGAGTCCTTGGTGTTCTGTTAGAGATACCAACGCTGATGATGATACCTAGTTTGGGTAATGAAATATCTGCAAGAAAACAAGCAAGCTCAGAGAGAACTAAGAACGGCATATTCCTGCATAGAGTCCAAGATTTGAAATCCTTCTGTGTTTTTTTTTTCCTAGGCACTGTTGACTCCTGGCACCACTTCTGTCAGGAAATGAAGCAGATTCTTTGCTCACACCTACCCACACCATTTTGTTCTTGTTTTTGTTTTAAAACGAAGGTCTCTCTCTAAGTACTCCTGAAGCCTGCAGTCAAGTCTCCTCTGCGCAGCCTGGCCGAAGCCTCTTGCCGTGTGGCGCTCAGCAACTGCAGCAGCAGCCACTTCCACCCACACCGCAGCAACAGCCAGCAATGACTAATCACATCATATCACAGGTGAGTCATTATTCAATCTTAACACTGTGTGGTGAGCTCTTCCTTGTGGCTCCTTGCTGAGGAAGTGGTGGCCAATGGGGCACTCACAGATGTTTATACGAAGCTTGAATAATGTTTATGACCTTGTGCGCTGTCCCCTTTAGACGGCCCGCCTTCTGCTTTGATTGCAGCACAAAATTGGGACATGCCTGGCTTCCTGTCAGGTATATTCTGAGGTGACCCTCAAACATTCGAGTAGGAGATTTTTTTTTTTCTAAACAAGGCGTAAGTTCTCTAGCGTCTATATTTGATAGGGACAGAGCAGAGGTGCACACTTTCTGTATTTACCTTCCTTTTCAAACAGTGATGGAAACTAATCAAGGAGAGAAGCAACCTAGAACTAAGGAGAAATTTCCTGACAGTACAATTAGTCAGCAGAACAACTTGCCACTGGAGGTTTTTAAGAAAAGATTGGACAACCATTTGTCTGAAACCGTAAAGGGTTTCCTGCCTGAGCAGGGGGGTTGGACTAGAAGACCTCCAAGGTCCCTTCCAACTCTTCTATTCTTTTGTTTTTTGTTTTTTGTTTTGTTTTTTGTTATTTTTCAGTTGGATCCTTCAAGATGTAGTGAAATACAGTGAAGAACTTGCCCTCTCAAGGAAATTTTCAGGATGCATTAATAGAAATACGAAGAATAGGCACATTAATTCCTTAGCTTCTTCATTAGGGACATGCTGGATAGATGTTCTGAAGCGCTACAGGTGCTTCAGATCAGGCATGAGTGTTCAGACTGTGTTGGCTGGCACTTCTTTTTCTGAGTTGCATAGTAGAAAATAAGGGTTTGAGTTAAGGAGCCTGCTCATCCTTGATCCTTGGTTGCATCTTGGTGGCACCACTTATATTTCTTGATGTCATGTATCCACATGCATGCTCAAGAAAATTTGAGCTTTTTTCAGCTTCAAGCTAGATCAAGAGGAGAATTGTCAAGTCATGTTATCATGGACGACTCCTGCCCTGATACCTCGCCCTGCTGAGTTTATTGTGCCGCACAGAAACAATGCCTGACTCATTGTAGAATACGTATGGCTTGCAGGACCTAGCCATATACTTACCAGTTTAGTCCAGATGAAGATGCTGATTAAAATGTATCTGCCACCTGACTCACAGCGATTCCGGATGGTTCAAAACATTTAAAAATAAGGGACAATAGAAAAACATAGAACTGATGCAAAACATAAAGCAGAGATGGCAAAGGAAACAAACTCGAAATTAGAAAGAAAGAAAGTAAGAAAGAGAGAGAAAGAAAGAAAGAAAGAAAGAGAGAGAAAGAAAGAAAGAAAGAAAGAAGGAAAAAAGAAAGAAAGAAAGAAAGAAGGAAAAAAGAAAGAAAGAGAAAGAAAGAGAAAGAAAGAAAGAAAGAAAGAAAGAAAGAAAGAAAGAAAGAAAGAAAGAAAGAAAGAGGCATTGGTCGTCCTTGCCAAAGGCCTGCATGAAGAGCCAAGTTTTCAGAGTCCTTAAAAATGCAAATAGGGTTGGAATCAGTGGTGGGTTGCAGGCGGTACGCCCTGGTACGAGCGTACCTATGCTTGCTGGGATCACCTGGTACCGTTCTGTTCCGGTGCTACAGAGGACCCATCCACCCTCCTTAC